TCCCCAAATTTCTATATCCCCAACTCGGTATATCCTCAAATCGCGACGTCCCCGAATTTCCACATCCCCAAATCGCCACGTCCCCAAATTTCTATATCCCCAACTCGGTATATCCTCAAATCGCGACGTCCCCGAATTTCCACATCCCCAAATCGCCACGTCCCCAAATTTCTATATCCCCAACTCGGTATATCCTCAAATCGCGACGTCCCCGAATTTCCACATCCCCAAATCGCCACATCCCCAAATTTCTATATCCCCAACTCGGTATATCCTCAAATCGCGACGTTCCCAAATAGCTACACGTCCCCGAATTTCCACATCCCCAATTCGATATATCCGCAAATCGCCACGTCCCCAAATTTCTATATCCCCAACTCGGTATATCCTCAAATCGCGACGTCCCCGAATTTCCACATCCCCAAATCGCCACGTCCCCAAATTTCTATATCCCCAACTCGGTATATCCCCAAATTGCCACGTCCCCAAATTTCTATATTCCCAACTTGGTACTACTAATTTTACTAATGTTCTGTGAAATTTATAAAAAAGATCTGTATAAAATTGTTGGATCTCATTTGGAATAAATAAATTAAGTATAAATCAAACAGTTTATAGTTTAATATTCTCAAGCAAAATTTTATGAAAAAAAAATTAATAAAACACTTATGCAAAAGTATTTTGTTAAATAATACACAATTTTTTCGCTACGTAACGTAACCAAATAAGCTATTAACAAGTTTATCACATTGTTACACATGTGACAATAAACGTAACACAAAAAATATTCAAATACAGATAATTTCTGTGTCGTTCAAAATAAAAAGAAACAAATTATACTAACAATTTATGCATTCCTTCGTTTACCAAAACAAATTCTGTATCAATATTATTCATAAGTTGTTTATACGTTATGAAATAAGCCTCCATAAACCTGTCTGTTTCCTTTTCCGTCAGATAATTTTTCCTACCGTTTTTATTGATTGTATTGAAAATTATTTATTGTAATATCATCTGTATTTCGTTGTTGAAAATATTCACTTTTCCGCGATGTGACGTAAACAGTTGACCCACTTTTGATACAGTATTTTAACACTTTTCTAAATATCCGCAAAATCATAAATTACAGAACTTACAATGCCATTTCGTGCAAAAGTAAATTCACGTTTATAAAATTTAACACGCGTTAATAAAATTGCACATTCTGTAGTTATATGTATTTGTTGTTTCGAGTAAAAAATTAGTTAAAAAATAAAAAGTTAATGTTCCATTATTTTATTTTCTACAATTTAATAGAACAAATTTTCTACAATTTATTGCTATTAATTTTTATTATTTATGTTTCAATGTTTCTTTAATTTTTTTTATTTAGTTTTATTAATTTTTATTAGTTGTATAATTAGATACCCTTTCTAAGACTTAAGACTAGTTGTAAAAATTAATAATTATTGTAAGAATTGAGACTAGTTACAAAAATGAAAATTAATACCTATTGTAAAAATTAATAATAGTTACAAAAATTAATATCTCTGAAAAAATTGATACTAGTAAAAATAAATACCTATCACAAAAATCAATACGAGAAACTAAATTCAAATTTAGTAAATTTACTATAGCTGAATTTGAATAAAATTGAATGCAAACGGAATTGTTCTGTAATCCAAAAATTTTATTGCTTGTCTATTTTTATCTCTCTATTAGTTCAGTATGAAAAAATATATTATTTTTAGAAAGTACAACATATCAAAAGATAAGACATGTAGCGATTTTTATCATATATTTCCTACATGTTTAAATGCAACATTCTGTTCAATAGTAAAATTTGTGACAAGTTGAAAAATTTGAAAGCTATGCTTTTTTATAAAAAGTTCGATTTTAATATATCATTTAACGACACCCTTATGATTTTTTAAGTGCGTCAGTCGGAACTATTAAATATTACATCTGCAATATTAAAGCAGGAGCAAAAATTGAAACGTTACATTAATTTTGTGTAGCCTTACACAAAACTGTAACCTTATAACCCTTGGCTATAACCTTATAACCCTAAGTTATATTCGGACTTCGAACTCCAAACAGATTTATATTCGAACTCCAAACGTACTAAAAATTCGAGCACGATCACATTCAAACGTGAATGTAAGGACCATGTAAAATATTAAACCATAAAATAATTTACAGAAAATTTACCTCAACTTCTGAAAACTGTTCAATGAATTTGTATCTGCCAAAAATACTCAATCCATAAAGTGATCTTGCACGAAAGAATAATCACAAATAATCACTGCTCCAGAATTAATTGAATTTATTACAACAATTGAACGATCACTGTTACGTATTTCAAAACCCAAATACAACGCGATTGATTTTCGATATTCGGTGGTCTATAAATAAAATGTACTGTGCTATACTGTACTAAAAATTTCTTGTATGTTTGGCAAGATGTAATTATGAGAATAGCTTCTCGTTTCTGGTTACTTTGGGCAGGATACGGTTTCAAAGAATCGCAGGAACCGACTGATTTAACAGAACTGTACGAAACGGTGCGTTAATTATATTTTGCAGAGTCAGCCATTTTACGTGTTCCAACGCACACTCGCAGAGTTGATTAAAGGCAACGCGAAATGTTGATCGAACGTGACCGTAGAAAGATTTATGGAGGGAAATTATCGACGGACCAGAAATAGAATCTTCTCTTTCTTGGATAAATTGGCCATTTATCATCTTGCATGTATCTTTAGCTTACAAAGTGTTTGAAAATTGCACATAGCTACTCGGCGTTATTTTGCATCTTTTGTTTGATTGAAATCGGGAGAATGTTGAACTTGGTCTTGACCTTAGAGGTCATGTACTCATCGAAAAAATAATTTCCAAAGGAAGTGATGTTCTAAACTCAATTTTGTTAAAAAATGAAGTTCAGATAATTTAGGGTGATTTTGAAATAAAAATATTTTGCATCTGAAAACAGGAACAGATTTATTTACTGTACAAACTATAATTAAAGTACAATCTAAATGGCAAAGTATGAGTGAAATTAAAAAAAATAGAAAATGTATACTAAATAATAAAAAAAATCTATAGTGAGAATGAAAAACTATTTTGCATCATTTAGAAGCAAATTTCGTTTTTTAATATTAATGATGACTTACGACTTATTTGTGATGTACATAAATAATCGTTCATTTTGTTTGACATAATTTTTACACAAAAAATTATACACTGATTTCACAAATTATGCGGTACTACACGTAAACAATTTGAAATACAAATGAATTTTGATTGTGTAACTGGTTAATGAATTTCTAGAAGTTGGGAATATTTATTTTATACAGAACTTTCTGTTTTAAGTGAGAGTAAATGTGGATGTAATAGAATCTCATTATATTGCCGATTGACTTTCAAAGAGATCAATTATCGTAGAGTACGAAGATCTGAGATAATTGCCTAAGGAGAAACTATAGTAATCAGTTTTATGTTTTTATAGTTCATGGCAATATAATAAAAGTCTGTAAGTGAAATCAGTGAGTACTTTAATTATTTACTTAAATAACTAAATACTTAAGTATTAAGTATTAGTTAAATAGTGTTCACTTAATTTGAGTGAACAAGTGTTAATTGAATTAAGTGAGCACTTATGAAAATTAAGTAACTCAAGCTACTTTAAGTATCTACTTAAAAAAATCAATATTAAATTCACTTATTTACAACAGTACATGTGAAGTAAATGAGTACCTGCTTTAAGTATTTAACTAAATATTTAAAGCAAGTATACATTAATATTTATAGCAGATTTTTAGTGTTACTATCAGTACTACTATAGTACTACTTAAGCATTATAAGTACTACTATAAATATTTGCTTAAGTATTACTGTAAGTAACTTATAGTATAGTACCTTTTATAAGTACTACTTAAATATTGCTCTAAGTATTACTATGAGTACTGCTACAAATATTACTATAAGTATGCTAGTATTACTATAAGTATTACTGTAAGGATTATTCAAGTACTGCAAGTACTACTATTACAATCATTACTACATTACTTTAAGTATTTACATGCAGTAGATAGCCAGTACATAAAAACAAACATTTGTAAAAAATACAGCAGAAAGCGTATACACAACTTTGGTTATTAATGAGTTAAAGTCGGGCGCAAGCAACTTGAAATGACTCAAATAATAAATCTCTGTGGCTATCGTATAAGTGATGGGTAGAACCCGAAAAAGTGTGCAAATTCTTAATGATTTCTAAATTTTAATTTTTCAATTCTCCAAAACTACAAATTTCCAAAGTCCAAATAATCCAACGCTAATCATCGTCAACATAAATATACTCCACATAAATGCACCGCGCTTTTACTGTTCTAACCCATCACTACATCACCACAATAAAAAAATCTCTATGGTTACTTTATACCACCGTCGACACTTGTCCAGCCTTACATTCTAGTTTCTATAAAAAGATTCGTCCAAATATTTACAAATCTCCACATCAAATCATTCATACAATCGACATACTCTTTAAGCTAATCTATCTAGTAGCTAAGCTACTCTATTATCGCTACTTTCAGTCGAATCACTTTCATATCACTGTTCGTCACAGAATTCTTCACGAATGTCCTCAACCTCTCCCCCGTCTCTTCAACCAGAATTCTTTGATCATATCAGACCCCTTCTCCCCGATCATAATAATCGGTGCGTTAGTGTTCCCACTAACAAGGTTAGGCATAATCGACGCATCGATCACTCTAAGTCCACTAACTCCGTAGACTCTCAATTGAGGATCCACCACAGCCTCCGGGTCCCAGTAGGGCCCCATTTTGCACGTTCCCACAGGATGATAAATGGTCGCCGAGTAGTGTCTGATCATGCATTCCCAGTAAGGATCGCTGTACATAGGTATATGCTGACATCCAGGGAACTGTTTGGAGTTCAATTCGCTGCCAAACCGTTTGAACGCTGCAGTTCTACTGAGAGCAACTCCTATCTTGACTCCTTCAACTAAAGTCGCCAAATCTTCGGGCTCCTTGAAGTAATTGGGATAGATAAGCGGGTGATCATACGGATTTTTACTACGTAGTTTGATGACACCCTTGCTCTTAGGCCTGAGCAGCATGGGTATCACGCTCCACACGTCCCTGTCATTAATAGGCCCAAAAACGGCGTCGTAGAACCTTTTAGTAAGTCCGTGGACCTTCCTGATCTGTCTACCTCCGTCAGAGTTCGTGGACCCTGAGATGAAATGTAATTCGATGTCCGGAAAGTCGTCGGAGGCGTTCACGTACTTGGTGTTAACGAACGCGAGTCCTTCGACTCCACCCAGCACAGTCAGAGGACCGTCTCCGAAGACAGCGTACTGCATCACCGCTTGCACGTTGTGGAGCCTCTTCTCGACCACAGAGATATGCTGGTTGACCATGAAGGTCAGACCACCCAGACCGACGTGGTCCTGTAGGTTGTGACCCACCCTGAGGTCCTGGACCACCGGGATCCCGTGCTGCAGCAGGTGCTCCCTAGGTCCTATCCCTGACAGCATGAGCAGCTGGGGAGAGTTCACAGCTCCTCCGGATACGATCACTTCCTTCTTGGCTCTGATACGAAACACTTTCTCGTCCCTGACGAACTCCACGCCGTAAGTCCTCTTGGACTTAGGATCGATCAGGATTTTGGTCACGTGCGAGTGCATGGCGATGTGCAGGTTCTTGCGCAGCCTCGCAGGTCGCAGAAAGGCCTTCGCCGTGGAACATCGGCTTCCTCTTCTGATCGTGCCCTGGGCGATCATGAAGCCCGTGTGCTGTTCGCCGTTTATGTCACGGTTCTCGTAGCCCATCTCTTGACCAGCTTGAACGAACACTGCAGCCAGAGGCGTGTGCCAAGGTGCTTCTTGCACGGTTAGGTAACCACCTGTAGAGTGGTACGGTGTTCGGGCTAGGTAAGGGTTCTGGTTGTCCTCGGACTTCTTGAAGTAGTATAGCACGTCTCTGGAACTCCAACCTGGGTTACCCTGCTGCTCCCAGATGTCGTAGTCTTTCTTGTTGCCGCGGAGGTAGAGCATGTAGTTCAAGACACTGCTGCCTCCGAGGACTTTGCCGCGGGGCCAGTTGCAGCGACCATGCTCCATTGCTGAAATAGAGAGTGTGAATGAATTTTGTGGCTATTCTAGGGTTTAATATCTACTGCAAAAACTGATCAGTTCATATATAGAATGTAGATCAAGTACAAACACTAGGTTTCTACATCTCTTGGTGGTGGTTCATAAATCAAGTTTTGTGCTTGACCTTGACCTTGCATTTCGAGGTCAAATTTTTGTATTGTCCTATCGTCTAATACTTTTCACCAAGATAAGAAGTTTTAGAGGATATATAGGTGGAATTTCAATCGTTCTCTCAGAAAATGATCGTAAAAGTCCAATTATCGATTTTATTCAAGTAATTTATTTTGATACATAAATTTTATATAAGCAAATAAATAAATTTTGTCATTTACTGTACTGAAGATGTGAACATCTTCAGATTCTCTACTGAATCTGTTACAAGTATCATAATTTCTCTGAACTGTCAAGGTATTGCAGATAAACAAAGTTAAAAAATTAATGTATTATTTACCTAAGCAGTAACCACCGTCGGGCTCCGTTTTATATTGCCAGTCTAACTGACTGAGCTGAAGATAACCAGCAAGAAGAGGAACATCTGAGATCTCTGTTTCGTCGCCTCCAGCTTCCAGAAGAAGCACGTTCCAGTTTTCTACCTCGGACAAGCGACTAGCTACTACAGCTCCTGCGGCGGAAATTAAATATTTAATACTGGAATAATGTTGACTGTGAAGAGTGTTAAGTGAATGATAGACGCTTTATCCTCTTTTATGAGCAAACGTTCATGCATTTATGATATGTCGTCGAGATGAAATCTTGTAAAGTCTGTAATTCATGGAATCTAATCTTGCATCTAAAATGTGTAATTTGTGGAAACTAATTTTGTGTATACTTGTGTATACAAGTAGTAGGTGCACTAACATTATTAGTTGGTGATATTAATCTTTTGTACTGGTAGATTTATTTTGCCATTTCTGATGTGCCTTCAGAGGAGACAACCAATAGTGCCATCAGAGGAGACAACCAAAAGTGTCTTTCAGAGAAGTGCAAAGTTAATAATAAAATATTGAATGTAACAATGAAAATGAAGATGATAGATAACTTTTTGATGATATACCTGCAGATCCAGCTCCTATCACAATGAAATCATAAGACGGAAGTAACACCTCTGAAGGGATGTTGATCGGTGGAGCCTCGTTATCCATAACTTCATACTGGAAATAAACTAACGCTGCCGCTAGCACCGGAAAGAACCATGAAAGTCCACTAGATGCCGAGGTTAAACCGCTCGTCAAAACACTCTCGATACCCATCTTCCGTTTCCTTTATCGATCTTCCTACGATTTTATTTTTGCAATTTAGTACACTGTTCAACACTTGTTAACTTTTTTCAAAATAACACTTAAATAACACATTTTGTATACACTAAATACTGTTGTTACTTCCTCTGGTATATTATTTGATGAATTTATAAGAAGAGAAAATTAAAATGTATAGAATTGTAAAAATATAATACTGTATAAAATATATGAAATTAGAATGGTATGACAACGTATAAAATATATAAAATTATGACAATATAGTAGTATGTAAAGTGTATAAAATTACAACAATATGACAAAGTATAAAGTGAATAAAATTAGAACAATATGACAACGTAACATATGCAAATTATAACAGTATAGTAATGCATAGAGTGTCTAAATTATAACAGTATAGCAATGTATAAAGTGTCTAAATTATAACAGTATAGCAATGTATAAGGTGTCTAAATTATAACAGTATAACAATGTATAAAATATGTAAAATTACAACAATGACAAAATGAAAAATCTATAAAATTAAAACAAAATGACAACATAAAATATACATAAATTTAAAACAATATGACATTACATAAAACATATAAAATTATAATAAAACAACAAAAATACAAAATTAGAACAATACATATAATTTATATAACCAACTACTCAAACACCATAATTAAATCAGTATAATCAAAACAAAAATTTACTAACAAATTATCACAATGTTCTCATAATAGTACACTATGAACATCAGGAGGACCGTGTCGGTCGAATCTTGTTTCGATACTGCCGAATCGTAGCCGATTTACCGCTGTGTAGAAATCGGCTGAAGAAAAGCCAGTCACAAATTACACGTGGTTTGTCAAGCAAACGCGTGTACGAGAAGAATATCAATGACACGTGAAACTTTCAGTTGTTAAGTAATTCTTTATTAACGCGGGCAATGTGCCCGCGACTGTTCGCACGTACCCCTTTCGACGAAAGTATTATGGTCGTGCGTGGAACTTCGCGAGAAAGTGAGAAATTTTCGCGAGATTCTGCGAAACGATATATATGTTAACTCATTGGAGGTTTTCACTGTTTTTGAAGAATGTAAATTGGGAGGGGTGATATTTTAGGATTTTGGAGTTTTGGAATTTTGGGGATTTTTGGGATTTCGGAAATTTTGGGGATTTTGGGAATATTGGGAATTTTGGGATTTTCGGAATTTTCAGATTTTAGAAATTTGGGAATACGAGTTCTTGGAATTTGCAAATTTGGGATTTGAAAATTCGGGAATTCGGAAATTTTGAATTTTGGACATTTGAGAATTCGGAAATTTGGAATTTGGGAATTTGGGAATTTGGAAATTTGG